CCAGGTTCCACTCTGAACATTCACAGTGGAAGTCTCATGGGCAAAGCCAATAACTAGCACGCAATTATTGTACTTAAGACTACCTTTGCGTATGTTTAGGAATTTCTCTGTGCAGAGGGACTCAGAAGGCCGGAGCCTATGCAAATGGTAGGAACAAAGCTATAAAATCTGGACAAGAAGGTCTGCCAGTTAAGTCGGAAACAAATGGAAATCTCCACCATTCACTACTGTGTGTGCTCTCAGCAGCCTGTTCCCTCCCTCCCTTGTATGTCACATGTTGTCATTCTACTTAAACCGCTGAGTAAGCACTGCCTTGATTTGGCTGTCTATTCAATTTATGCACCGGCTCGGTGACAGGTTCTAGATTATAGCTGGTTTTGTTTGTTTGTTTGCTTGCTTGCTTGCTTGCTTGCTTTTACCCACTCTCTAAGGCAGATTTCACAAAATGTCTTCCATCAAACTATCCCCATTCAGTGTTAACAGATGTCTTCAGGCAGACGTAAGCTAAGTCCAATATAAGCTAAGCGGGAGAAACCCTGAACTACGGTACTAGATGGATCTGCCAAGGCCTGAGGCTTCACGGGACTGACTTTTCAACCCTGCACAGCGCAGGTGCTCATGCAGTGAGTCTCTGAGAGGAAGACACTGGCCTTTCCTCCCCTTCCACTCACACAGCCAGGAAGCCTTCCCTCCATGGACCCTGCCACATGGACACATTCCACAACGTATGTTATGGAGCAATTTCCATAAAAAGATCCTGCTTTTAAAAACACTAAACCAGAATTGTTTTATGTTTTCCCAATGAGCCATGGAGGCATAGGCATCACGTCAAACAGTCAAGGAAATTTTGTATATTATGCACAATAAGTAGGAGTCAAAATAACGGATCTTTAAGCTCTGTATCAAAAAATCTGATGAGGGTTTCATCTGGGATAAAAACCTGTGGGTAGGAGAAGTAATTAGTGGTATTTTTTCCCTCATTCCAAACCCAGAATTTAGCATCCTTTGGTCTCCAGGGATCACCTCTTCCGTTCCACCCTCCCTGTACTATGGCAGCAGAAAGGCCCACAAAATCAGGTTGTCATTTACCCCACTTTAACTAGTGGCTTTCAGCTGGTCAAGCCATAGTTGGCTAGAAGTAATCGTACAAGTTGATGATCTAGCCAAAGGAAATGTATGACCATAAATATAATTGTTAGCTATACAGTTAGTTCTAGCCAGAATGCTGAGAAAACAGAAGCAAACGTCAACAAATAAGTCTATTGTTTGGCTAAAATAATTCCCGTTTCTCAATAATGTTGAGCACAGTAAAAAGAGGTAGGAATTTTCTCTCAGGCAAGCAGCTGAGTCCATTATTCCATGAGCAGGAAAAAAAAAAAAAAAAAAAAGCCTAATAATCTTTCAATATTACTTACCTGGATAATTAAAAGCTTTTGGGTGATTAACATGGTTCTCTTTCACAGCTTTTCCCTAAAATATGTAAGAATGTATGTGTGCATATATGCATGTATCTATCATGTGTGTAGATACGTGCATGTGTGTACAGGATAGTGATAATATGTACATGAGATTCTTCCATAAATGACCTTAAAAGAAATCAGAAAATTGGGAGGGGATTAAGAGAAAAAGTGTGGGAAGTTTGGGTTTAACACATATCAAAAATAGATGTTCATTTATTGACTAATAGTGTTCCTTAGCATTCAAAACAACATCTCAAGCTAAAAGTGTTGCTAAAGCAACTAAAATTTATTAAAAATTCTGTGAGAAGACAAGCTTTTTAATCTGGAGACTGACAATAAAAAGTTTAATGTATTCCAAACTATCCAGATGGGATTAACATGAAGCCAGCTCCCAGCTCCCAGAATTACCTTATCTTTTCTTTTTGTTTGTTTTTTTGTTTTTTGAGCCCGGGTTTCTCTGTGTGGCTTTGGCTGTCCTGAACTTGCTTTGTAAACCAGGCTGGGCTCCAACGCGTAGAGATCTGCCTGCCTCTGCCTCCCAGAGTGCTGGGATTGCAGGTGTGAGCCACCTCACCTAGCTTTAGACATCTTTAACCTGGTCAGATCCACAGCTAAAACCAAGTACCACAGCATCCTAACCCAGTGTCCAGTGTCCTAGGAAACTGCCTTTGAAGAAGGCACACACCTGAATTACCTTATCTTGATCTAGAATATGTCTACTGACCAAAAAAAAAGATGATTTTTGGTTGGTTCAACCACAGTGAGATTGTGTTGGGAGGAATTAGAGGTGCTAAATTGAGAATTCTGTGTCATACATTTACCTAACAAAGAAAGCAAACACGGCTAGTTTATGTGCTAACACTGGGTGCTTAAGTGAATCAGCAATAATTGCTGTTCCTACAGCTTCATTCAGTCCGTTCGGAAGTATCCACAGAAAAGGTTTATCTAGTATTTTTTTTTTTAATCATAAACTAATCTGAAATCTTTTTCCATGTGTGTTGACCTAATGATTCTAATTCCACCTTATTTCTCTTGGGTCTGATCACCACATGGTCTCTGGCTTCCAACCTCCCCTGTGGTTGTTCCAGAACCTTCCCTCTGGCACCTTCCCCTGAGCTTTCAGAGTTCCAGCCTTGGGGAGCTCAGGTGTGGTGCTTTTCTTGCTCTGCCTGAGCGTCTCTCCAAGGCCATAGCCTCAGCTGCTTTGCAAAGCCAGGACTCCAGGCCAGACCTCTTCCCCAAGGGGATGCAGAGACAGACACACAAAACAACTTTCTTTACGCTTCTGGGGAAAACAGGGCCACAGGCATCCTGATCGTCCAGGATGTTCTTTCTCCTCAAACTCCAACTATCCCAATATAAACAGAGCAGTTGGTAAACATCTGATTAATTAAAATGCTGGCCAAGTTATTGTCTTGTTTAATTGAATATTTTCATTCAATCAAGGCCCAACCACTTTGAAGAGTAAATTATCAAATGCCCTAACTTAGTATTAGTATTACATTGTTGAGTCTGGAGCTTAATTTCTGACCATATTGTACTTAGGTTCAGATTATACCAGGCATTTAAATCACATGAGAAACTGCTATCACTCATTACTGTGTCTGAGGCTCCCTTAGAATGCATTCATATTTCAACTTTGGTTATCCACATTCAAAATCAGCATCTTTTAGGTACTGTAAAAATGGCTCAAGGGTTAAGAACTCTTGTTGATCTTGCAACACCCATCTGTAACTCCAGTCCTAGGGGATGCAACACCCTCCTCCGACCTCAGGCACTAGACATACATGCAGGCGAAACACCCATAAACATAAAATTGTAAATAATTTTTTTGAAAAACAAAAAAACATGTTTTAGAGAAAAGTAAACTTGCAAGGAAAAACCCAATACTAAGCCTACAGGAGAAAAAAAATTCATAATGGATATTGAAATAAATAAATATGTAAGAGGAAAACATAAAATGAAAACTGCAAGAACAAATGGTTAAACTCAGGGCTTTTACCTGAAACCAAGGCCGTCACTATTGGTTCTGAGGAATATTCTAGAATAATATGTAGTCCAGCTTTAGTATTCCAACAAATCAAGGCTACCTTTGAGACTGTGTCAGCAAGAATAAAGAAAGAACGCACCTGCCTCGGTTGTATACTCTCCCAAGCTCCCTTGCTGCGGGTTCCTCTGAGCTCCCCTCAGAAGCAGCATCAGGATTCCGCTGCCTCCTCATCTGTCAGGTTGATACGCTGGGAAGTTTCATTACGGTTTCCACAATGCTCAAAATCCCGCAAATGTTAATTGCTTCCTGGTTTCTCAGCAGTTTGCAAAGCCTGAGTTCACAGTGCAATCACGAGGGACCCGGGAACTGTCAACCTGCTTCTTTGTTCACGTGCATAAAGATTTCCAAAGCGAATTAAACCTTTGTTCTTGATTGGCAGGCGGTGCTAACCCAATGATTATTATGAACACAAAACTGCTGCGTACTCTCAAATTACTCCATGATCATGATTAGTAGACATAGTATTTTTTGTTTGCTTGTTTGTTTGTCTGAATTGTACAGATAAGGGAGTGCTTTACCTCACTGTGTTGCCTATTCAAGCCTCAGGCCCTGTGGTATATACTCCCTCAGGGCAGGAAAATGGCCAGCCAGCCCCCACCCCTACCCCACCCCTTAGGAGCTCCAGCAGCCAGCCCTCCCTCCGCCCCAGACTTCCTTAACAGCCCCAGACTTCCTTAACAGCCCTAACAGTCATTTTTTATAGGCAAGAACTATCATTCGCAGCCCCGGAGCTGCAGTGCCCAGACCACACCCTACAAGAAAAATCCCACCAATCCCTGAGCTCCCCCAAACTCAGGACTTGAAATCCCACCAATCCTCACCCTGGAAAGCTCCGCCCCTAAGAAATCCTATACCTAAGCCCTGCTTGCTGTTTGGTTTCCTGTTGTCTTCTGGAAGCAGAGGTAGCCACCCCTGGATTCCTTCCTCCCAGTAAATCTCTTTTATGAGGTTTACTGCCTGGCATGACTCTCTCTTTGTGGAGCTGGGCCGAGGCTCCTCTGCGCCTTCCTCATCTCAGCTAGGTATACCCTCCCCTGGGCAACACTGAAGGGGAGGAATGGCCAAGTGTTACTCCAGCTGCGCCACCTCTACTGAGGAGACTTCCTCTCAGAGCTGTGTGGTTCCTGGACTCCCAAGTCCCAGGATACCTTTCCATCCAAGCAGGAACACCAACACACTGGAGTCTCTCTTGTTGTGCTGTTAGGATTAGTTAATCAAGTCAAACAAAATAAACCATCTCATTTATAATGATAATAATCTTATTTCATCTTTCCCAATGCTGCTTCTTCACTTGGGGGGAAAAACATGAGGGCCTTTGTGATAGGTGAAACTGGCTTTGTTGAAAGATTCTAAAATCTTCATGTGTATGAGAGAGGCACTGGCTTAGCAAAAAGTTCATGTTGGTCGTTATCTGAACTGATAACAGCATCTCAACCATAAATCAGAGAAACCAAACATCTCATTTAGAAATAATAAAATTTAATAGACAAGAAAATATTAGCATCGGGAATACAACAGTAAATTGCCCTTTCCATTCAACAGCATGGAGAGTTATGTTGTTTTGTTTCTGGCAAACATTTAAAACTCTTTAAAACCAAATCAACACATTGACATTAAGAAAAATATTGCCACAGCACATACAAAAACAACTTCAGCACTGCAGATATCACACAAAGTAGCAAAACACAGAGTTGATCCAGAGCCTTCTGGAAATCTCCATTGCAGTAACTCAGCAGCTCACTCGACATCACAGTTCAGACAAAATGAGCATCTTAAAAAGGAAACCTTACAAATATATAAATCCAAACCACAAAACCTCTTAAATGTTGTATTTACTCAAAGTACAAATGGAATTCTGGAAACCTCATCCACGATACTACCTAAAACTAGGGTTTCTGGAATCATAAGTGTATTTAGCTCTGAGTTGGGGTTTCAGTTTCATTGGCTCACAGCCCACATAACTTTCTCATTACATGTGCCTTGGGCATACATTTTCTCAAAGTCAGTAGTTACACAACTAAAGTAAAACTCCTATTCAAGATAAGTACCCATTTTCCCTCAATACAGAGTCTAAAGCTGGCCCCCTGCAACTATTTCACGCAACAAATATTTCACCACAAACAAGTTAACAAAGTCTTGGCAAAGCCCTTTGCTAAGCATTATTGAGTATAATATTGTTAAGTCATCAATAATGAGTCTCAGAGACTAAGAAGCATTCTTTCCCCTTTTGGCCTAGTTTCTGTGAACATTCTATCCCCCCGATCTAAGGCCTACTAGACAATCTAGTCCCATAAATATATACATTCAACACCACCCCTGCCCCATCACCACTTCAGGAAAAGGAGTCCATACTTAAGATACATAGCTTATGTTTTTGTGGAAAATAAGTTTAAGGACTCAAATTGATCCTCAAACTGACTGGATATCAGGTAGCCAGGAGTTAGCTACTTGGCCACCTTCACTTCACTCCATTAATGTGCCTCTTTGAGCCAGGCATCACGTTGGCATGGCTTCACCTTCTCCTTTGCCTGGACTTCCATTGGACATGAATCTCAACATAAACGTGTGGCCCACTTGGGTTCTCAGGGCCTAGGCTGAGAGCAGCTGGTGGCCTGTGGCTGGGTTTTCACCTTCACGGGTTCCCCCAGCATGCTGCAGAGGTCAGCAAAGTCAGCCCTGAGCACATTTCTAAAACAAGGGGGAGAAAACAAAACCTCCATAAACTGGTAACAACTCACTTAAATGGAACTTTGTTCAGGATGAGGGATGGGGCTGGTGAAGGAATGTGGTTAGAAATCAAACCAAACTAAAATGCCTTACGGAATTACTTCAGTGAATATTTTCACATGCAAAAACTGCTCAGATCTACCCAGGGATGCCTGGGAAGAAAACACAGATGAAGAAAATGCCTGTGTTGAAGACAAAAGGCCATGCCCTGGCATGAGGTCTACGTCCATGCAAACTCCTCAGAGTTGTCCATCTTCTATAGCAACATGCCCAAGGGGATAAGACTGAGGGAACCTGGGGCAGGCGGGACTGCAGAAGAGAAATGGACCCGAGAGAAGTATCTCAGAGAAGTATCACCTTTAGAGAGAAAGCACCTGAAGATGATTAGGGGCTCCAGCGTTGGGAGAACGGGGGCCGCATCCGTGTGTTTTAGAGCAACCTACCTCTGACATCTACCTACCATCCCGGATGCCCTTAACTTCAAGGAGGACTTCATTCATGCCCTAGAGTTTCACAAAGACCCTGCCACAGGGTAACACGCCTGGCCTGGCACCTGCTGAAGGCACTCACTGGGATCCTAGCTTTGCACCGAGACACCTCACAGCTATCAGAGGGCCAGGAAAGCTATGCCACACCCAGCTTTGCGTCTTGGCTAACCCCTACATGGGAGTGCACTTTAAAAAAAAAAAAATTTCAGAATCCAGGAAAACCCACCAAGCCAACATCTGGATGGAAAACGGACCACAGACGTATGGCCAAGGGCTTTGTTGAGGTTTAGACACTCGTCATAGAGAATACAAAAGAAAGCAAATTGGATCGTACATCATTTGAACATAGCCACATGTGCCAAATTTCCTATTTTGAACATTGATTAAGAAGGAAGCGCCATACAGTCCAGAAATTCGTGACAGACGCATTGGCAAAACCCGTATACCATAAGGATGACAAGGCTAGAGGGGACGAGGCTAACGAAGACCACCCCAAGGGTGACCTTCTTAGACACCAGTAAGTAGATCCCTAAGGGCAAGGAGCTGAAGTACAGCAACCCTAGCAGCCACACTAACACCCGGATGGACGTCTGAAAGAGCAGGGAGGTGCAGTTCCACACTGTCCAGTTGTGGGACACGGTGGTGACAGAGTCGAAACTTGCCGGCCTGTAGAATTCTACCACAGGGGTGGAGCTGAGAGAGGGGGAGCTCTCCCTCTGCACCTCCATGATGGTGATAACCAAGCAGTTGGAGGAGGTGTGGGAAGGACTGACGAGGGAAGCCAGCCTCTTGGGGGTGAGCAGCAGCTCAGTGGGGTTCTCAGGCAGACATTTCTTCCCTTTGCCTCCACAAGTCAAGTTTACGAGGATGTTGTTGTCATCGGGCAGGCTGCTCACTTCATCATCCGGCAGGCACGTCTCGAACCTGCAGAACGGACAGACGATGACGCCTTGGGGAGAGTCCCCAAAGTCTATGATCTTGTAGAGGCATTTGGCACACACCCTGTGACAACACTCCAGGACCTTGGGCTTCCTCTGCTTCAGGTTGTACCGGTTGTAACAGATCTTGCACTCTAGCTCGTCTGAGACCTGAGCCTCCACAGGCTCTTCCAGGGGCTGGCTGGCCATCTTGAGTTAGGAATGCAATCTTTTGTAGATGTGCCTGGCTGAGGAGTGTCTTGGATTACAGAATCCCTCTGAAGATCACATCATCCAAGTCAGGCAAGGGGGCTGGAAGGGCAGGAAAAGAAGGGAGAGAATCCAGAAGCCTTTTGAACATTTTCAGCTCCTCTGTCTCTGACGCATATTTTCTAAGGCCGCCTGAAGGATCTGCAAAGGAAAAAAAGCAGAGATAATAATAGAGCAAACAGATCAGTGAAAAGAGGTTTCAGAGAACTGCTTCCTGGCGTTCTCTCAACTCCAAGGACCAGGAGAAATCGACCTAAGTAATTAAATCCCTTTCTCTTTCACCTTTCTGGCTCTGGGACATGTCTGTGCTTCAGTCCACCAACATCGTAAGAAGGGACTAAGTCCTCATGCGTGTGAAGGGCACCGGGGTCCACCTCAGTACTCTTTGAAATCTGCATCAATTTTTGGTCTCTTTGAAACATGGGACTCATTCACAGCACCATTATAGAAAATAGCTGAGTATCTCCCACAGCACTCGCAAGCTTGTCGCTTACTTGTTTCTTTGTGACAGTCTTACTATATAGCTCAGGCTGGCCCCAAACTCACTACATAGCCCATGCTGACGTGAACTCAGCAACCTTCTGACTCAGGCTCATGAATGTTGAGATTCGGGACCATGCCCCACCACGTCAGCTTCCCAAGAAAAGTCTTAAGGGTAAGCATTAAGGACGTGTTTTCTCGGGAAGCGTTTTGCTGGCACTAGGAGCACTCACTGGTGAGTGAAGCAGATGGTTTTCCCTTCTTCATCTATTTCACAAAGCCCTTAATATTTGACTATTTGATTCCAATTTTTGTTTCAAAGCCAGTCTTGGGTATATACATTTATACAAAGGAAACTTAAACCTTCTGACATACGCACTCTAAACACGTCCAATTCCCAAGAGAGAAAAGCAAGCAAGGGAAACACATATGATTAACACATACATACCACAAACACAGGAAAAGTCATTTGTGGGTGGCTATTAGGAAACACTCACTATTCACAATCCCACCTACTGTGTGTCGAGAAAATTCTCCGTCTATGGTAAGCAGAAGGCCTGCAGGCCTGATACGAGCAAGAGATACATCATCGGCACTGGCTTTGGACAAAGGACAGAAGGTTTATTCATGTGCACAGTGGGTCGCCTGTAGTCAGTATCAGAGAAAGAGCAATAGTGTGGGAAAAGTTCACATTATTCCCATTAGCTTTAATATGTGTGATATTTGGGGGAGTAGTTCCATGTTGAGTCACACTCTGCTTGGAAAGTATCAAAATGGATTTGAATTTCTGAACACAGTCCTCAGAGCAATAATAGCAGGAGGCAGTTAGAGGATTTCTGGAGACAGCAACTGTCTGCCCTTCAGAATTTGCTATGGATCACACCACCCTTAAGGGAAGAGGCAGGGAAGAGCTAAATTAACCTTGGGCAGTATTAAAATCAAGAGTATATACTGTCTTCCTTCTTATTTATGAGTTTCAATAATTTTCAACTGACTTCTTATTCTATGGGACTGTGCAATGGGCAAGAAGTGTGCTTGTAGTACTTCTTCAATGGACTCTTTGGTTATGAACCAAAAATTATACACAGACTTTTTCTCATCTCTATTCAAAATTTTCTGTCCTGTGTGGAGTCTGGGAATCAAATGTGTGTTTATTCTGTCAATGAGCCAGGAGCTTTGAGGCTTCTGAACTAGTGAGAACAATAGTAAAATGTGTTCTTTAAAAGTCACATAAAACTCATCGGCAGTTCTATAGCCTGCCATTGCTGTTTTCAAAGCTGGCTCTTTAATCGCTTCCCCACTTGTCTTATATTTACTCTCCACTTCAAATTTTCTGTTTCTTCTTGGGTCAAATTTGGACACTTAGATCTGACAAAAAAAAAAGTGTACTTCATCTGAGTCCTCAAATTCTTCATCAAATAGTTGAACAAAATTTCTTCATTGTCTTCTTAGATTATCCCTGTATCTCCAAATACGTTCCTTTTCTCATTTACCCATGCTTATTTTTTGTTGCTTTTCAAATCATGCACACAGATTTTTATACCAAGTTTATTGTGCTTATTGAAGAACTAGCTATCTAATTCATTTATCTTATTGGGTTTGTTTCCTTCATTTCAGCTTTTTTCTGTATTATTTCCTCTAATTTACCTTAGTATATTTTTTCATTCTTTTTTCTCATTTAATAATAAAAACACACTGTATTTTCATTTAAATGATAAAGGTATGTCAAGGCAGCCACTTCCCACTGCCTATAGCTTTTGCTCTCTGGAAGCTTTTATAGTCTTTTATACAGCTTGATATTTGACCTTCTTACTGTTGTTGCTGTGAGGGTCTCACTACATATCCCTGGCTGGCCTGGAACTTGACCAAGCTAGCTTCCAGCTCAGAGATCCACCCACCACTGTCTCCCCAGTGCTGTAATTAAAGGTGTGCACCACCATGCCTGGCTCATTTGACTTTTAACTTATCCTTGATACAAAGGTTATGTCAATTGTATCATTTATCAGTATTAAAAAAAAATCACCTTCATTTATATATTTCTATTAATGGATTATGATCAGAGATGAGAACTCCAAAGACCTATTTCCCTTTGAATATATTGTTCTTTGTAACCAAGTGTGTGCTCAACTTTTCTAAGAGTTCCAGGAACAAAATGTTCTGTATTCGAGAGACATCAGACCCAGTACGGCTATTAAACACAACTTTGTATCTATTGCCTATCATCCTCACACTGGATGTAAGATTAAGGAGGAGACAAGTGAACAGGGTTTATTAAAGAGCCTGGCAGAATCATATTTGTATTTCTAACAGCTTTGCTTTACAGGTTCCATGGTACACTACTTTATATGCGCCCCTGTATGTGAATGTATGTGCCTGTGTATGAGTGTGTGCGTGTGTGTGAGGGTGTGAGTATGTGTGTGTGTTGTACGCAGGGTCTTTCACATGCTGGACAAATATTCTACTCCTAAGCCACTACTGTGGCCCCACTTTTTAAAATACTTTATTTTGACACAGGATTTCAGTAAGTTACTGAAGCTGGGCTTTAACTCACTGTGTAGCCAGGTCAGTCTTATGCTCACAACGCCTTCAACGCCAGCTGCCCAGCAGCTCTTATGCCATACTGGCACCACCAGGCCCATCTTGGGATTTGCCTTCTCACTCACTCAAACAGTTTCAAAATAAAAATAAGTAAATACAATGCATTAGTTTTATTCATCTGTATATACATATCTATACATATGTAATACACGTAACAATAATTTTTAAAAGACAAGATTATAAGATAGGGAGACAGGGGAACATGAAAGAAATTGAGAGGAGAGTGAGGGGTGAGAGGGATATAGATGGAATGTTCATGTATAAAGTTTCAAAAAAAATAAATTACAACAAAAATGGGCCTAGATATGACCCCATGGTTAGCGCTCTGGACTTTGAATCCAGTGATCCGAGTTCAAATCTCAGTGGGACCTGTAATTTCCTTCCTGTTGTCATCTTCCTCACTGGGAGGGCTATCGTTCTGGTGAGCAGGCCGGTTCTTAGTACTCTTCCTCGTGAGCACTTTTGTCATAAAATGAGTAATGAGATCCCTACGTTCTTACCTAACAACTTTTAATCCCAGGAGGGAAACAGCTGGCTGCCTGTGTGCAGCCTGTTCAGCTGCTGCTGTTTCTCTCCAGGCTCTCTCCGTACTCCTCAGGCTCCAGTCTCCGCTGCCAGGGGTGAGACACCCGCAGCCAGCCAATGCTTCTTCACAGAAGGTCATTTGCTCTCTGACTGGAAGCTGCTTACAGACTGCCTCTTTGGCATTCAAGAGCTCCAACACACGCAGAGGTGCCTTGAATCACCTCCGAGAAGGTGTTTTTTGTATTTGTCTGATTACTTCCTGTGGCTCTCCTGCTAACACACATTCTAGCTCCTAGATTGGCATTTTCCCAAGAAGCCCATCCTGTTATATTTTCATTCTGTGTTTCAGACCCCTCCACTTGACTGACTACAATATCAGTTCTCTCACGAACACTCATCATGTCCTGCAGCCATCCACCGGACTGTGTGATGAGGATGCCACACAGCTCATCCCCTGAACATCGTTCTGTCTGGCGTGTACATCTCCTGCGTGCTCACTGTCCTTGTCTGTCTCCAGCTGCCACTCTGTGATGTGAAGCATGATGCCAGCTGTTCCCGTAGACAGCTTCACCTTTGGCTGCGGTGACACCATGATCACTCGTTACATGACTGGGGTCCTGATGTGACTATTGTAGGAGCCATGTGTCTGCAGTTCTGTGAGGGGTAGGAAATGGTCTCCACCCCTGGCACCATTTGGATACTGGAGAAGACATGGGGTACAGCCAAGTAATAGAGGACAGTCCTCCTTCTCCAAAGCCTGGGACACAGGGGGAAGGCAGCCCAGCTGTGTGTGACACCTTGCTCTTTTGCAGCGTATACACACACACACACAGAGAGAGAGAGAGAGAGAGAGGGAGAAAGAGAGAGAGAAAGAGACAGAGACAGACAGGCAGACCCAGACAGACAGACAGACAGACAGCATGGTTAATATCAACCATGCTTCCCATGACATAAAGGACTGTAATAAGCTGATTTCCATTCCTCCTTCATAACTTAACTTTAAAATTCACATTTTCTAAATGTTCTGTATTTTTTTTTTTTGGATGGAAGATTATTTGATGCCCAAGAGTAAGCATATTTTTGCTGTTCACTTGCTATCTTTCCATTTGTTTCATTTATTTTTTATTTTATGTGAATCAGTTTTTTGCCTGCATGTATATCTGCGTGAAGGTGTTGGAACCCCTGGAGCTGGAGTTACAGACAGTGGTGAGCTGCCATTGGGTGCTGGGGATCGAACCCAGGTCCTCTGAAAGACCAGTCAGTACTCTTAACCACTGAGTCACCTCTCCAGTCCTGTGGCGTTTTTCTTAAATAATACTTTCTTCAAGTTTTACACTGCAATTCAAATAATTATGCTACTATATGCCGGTTACATTAGAAGGCCACTTGGTAAGACATCTCCATGTTTTCCCTTTAAAACAATTTATATAATTTTTAGAATGTGGACTGTTTGCGGACTAGGAAATAGCACACAAGCATGAGGGCTGAGATTAGGTCCTCAGCACCTACATAAAAAGTCAAATGCGGCAGCCATGCCT